ACTCTCGCGGAGTGAGGAGTCTCCCTTCCGGTAAGACAATAAACGGGAAGCCGGTGGCTTCTAGATGCTACTCAGGCTGCTCCACCTTCAGATGTGGAGAGATACAAAGGCCATGAAGACTGTACAGCTATAGGCCTGGAGTCTCCTTCCCCTTTATGTCCTCCCTGGGTGGCACCGCCATGGTACAGCCCTGAGAAGCAGACTTGAACTTTAAGCTGACCACTGACTGCTGGCAGATCTGCTGACCACAAGACAGGGCTTTCCCACCATCTCTTGTCCCAGTACTTGGATCCTGCTCTGACGTGACTTTTGCAACATTCCCATATTTTCTTTAAAGGTCCCACTCACTTCCCAGTCCCCTGCCATGTCCATGGTGGCCATCTGGTCCCTCAGAATGGCTCTCCCTCGGCTCCTGCCCCTTCCAGCCTCCATGCCCTGTTTTCCACTTCACCTGGAGTGCTCCCTTGATGTCCCCTTCGGGTTCCTTCCACTCCTGACTGATCTGGGGAGTCGCAGAGTGCCCCTGACCAACTAGAGCCTTCTTCTCTGAGACCCAGCCCTGCTAGAGATGAGGTCCCGCAGACGGGCTGGTGGCGAGGCCACAGCAGTTGTCCTGAGCAGGTCCCCACACCTGCTTTAAGTGGCACTGCTTGATCTCCCAGAAGGCAGCCCCCTCCCAACCCCAGTCCTGTCCCTCCTCCTGCCCATTCCCTTCCCAGACCTCCTTCCTGCAGTGCTGGGATCAGAGGGGTCTGCCAACCCCCACTCCCACCTTCCGTCCAGCTCAGCTCTGTGCCCCTGAGTTGCTGGGGCCCCACATGGGGCAGCGTGTCTCCTGTAGTAAAGTTTCTCCGCCCCTAACCCATTTGCCCGAAACTTGATCTCCTTGGCCCTCAGAATCACCCCACTGGAGAACCCGGGCTTTGATGGCTGAGTTTCCGCAGCTGTGGCCTTGGGTAGCTCAGAGACGCCCCCCCCCCTCTCATTTGTCATCATCCATCACTCCCAGGGGGCATCGCTTGATGAATTGTATTGAGCCCAGACACCAGCTCAGCTTTTAATAACTGATCAGCACCCTGCTGCTGCCCAGCTGGGCTGAGGGCCCTGACCACAGGGTAGAGAGGAAGCTGGAATTTCTGGTATGAGCCATTCTAGGAGGAAGCCAAAGAGCCCCCTCGGAGACCCTCCTCTTCCAACCCACACAAAGAGGCTGCAAGGCTCTGGGTCCCATTCATCAGCGTAGCACATTTCTGTACACTTCTGAGGCAACGAGAACAACACCAGATCCCTAGCACCCCTACACTGCTCACCACATACACCCTTCATCCTCCTCGAAGGGATGTCCTGCAGGGAGGCAGCTGCATGGGGGAGGGGGAATGCTCAAAAGATGCTGCACCCTTTACTGTGACAGGCAGAGCAAGGAAAGAGTGGGCAAGAGCTAGGACGAGAAAGGAGTCTGGCTTCTCAGGAGGAAGACCTAGAGAGGGTAGTTTCCTTTCTGGAAGAGAAAGTTGCTGCAGTCCATCAGGGTGGGCAGCCTGAGGGCCATAAACTTTCAGTGGCCTGGAGAGGAGAGTAAGTAGGATTGTGGACAGTGCCCCCTCCCCGAACCCCTCCCTACCCCCCTCCCAGGTGTCCACAGCAGGGGAGAGGTGGAGAGGGACTCCAAATAGCCCAAGGCCCTTGCTGGGAAGCTGTCAGCCTGCTGGGTGCTGATGGTCCCCGTGAGAACTGTTAGTAGATAGACAGGATTAAACCATGCGCCAAAAGAATCGCCCTTGCCTGCCCTACTTGAAAGCGCTGTGAAGCCGCTTTCATGGATAAGCAGAGCAGCCCAAGGCTGTTGACAATAGGAAAAAATGAACAGCAATAAGCTTCGTACGCATCAAAAAGCTTTGATAGTCTACAGTGATGAACTCTTCACTGTGCTGAAGGAGGCACTGTCCATACGGCAGATTCCAAGACACCTTGCCCAGTGGCGGTGACCAACCTGTCGGGGGCAAAGCAATACAGAAATAGCCACCCCGTTTTATGCTTTGGACAAGAAGATGCATGTGTGTTTGGGTGAGGGCATAAAAAGTGAACCTGGCAGGCACACAGCAACCCGTTCAGAATGGTCACACTGTTGCCATGGACCACAGGCATCCTTTTGCAGGTTCTTGATCTCCTAGATAAAGGAATTAAAAAAAAAAGATACAGAAGAAACCTCGAGAACTATTTATTGGAGTCAAGGAGAGTCCCCTGACCAACAGGACCCGAAAGCCCAATCTTAGCAACTGTGGGGATTGGGGGAAGATAGATAATGAATTTTGAATTTGGGGATTTAGGGATCTGAAAGACAGAAGGTTTAGCAATGAGTTTGTGACCTGCATGGAGGGGTGTGGCTGAGGTATAGAAGGACAGGTCTCACTAAGGGGACAGTTACACCCCCATTTCCTTCTCCTTTGCCTTTTGGCTTATGCAAGTCTCTTTTAGGTTGCATGTAAGGTTTTCCTCTTTAACCCAGGAGAGACGACAAACAAAGGCATCTCCAGGTTAGTCCTGACAGGGGGGCCACTGACTGTCTTCCACTGACCACCCAGTAAGTCATTTGTAAAGAGAGCTACAAGTCATCAGACATGTCAGGTCCGAGGATGTCCACATACTGGTGTCATGTATCCTAAATGGTGCCTGGGAAGCAGATGGCTGAAGAGGTCCATTTCTTGTTTGCTCTCTTTCTGTCTGGTTCATCCTCAGCACATGGGCGGGCGAGGGGCAAAACCTGACAGAAGGGGTTTTCCTGGTTGGGAATGAATGCTTCAGATTTTCATCACACATGTAATTTTTACAAGGTAAAGGAAACTGTGAGGATGTGCTGAAGCCTGGTGTGGGGAAGAAGCTGGAAGGCAGCCTGGAGCTACACTGAGTAGACTTCACTTTCATCCAGTGTTTCATTCCCCAGGCTCCTTTGCAGCTTGATGCACCCCTAAGAGTGAGCATTCGTCAGAGAAATGGAAAAAGTATTGAGTATCATGCTTAGGATACGCTTTTAAAAGAGGGGTGTTTTCTTTACCTCTTCCTCTTCAGAAGGCTAAAATGGGGTCTGGAAGGCTAGAGCTCAAGAAGTCTTCTGGGACTAAGGCAGAGGTGGGAGTTAAATAGAACAGATCAATAAGTTAGCTGCAAAGATGGAGCCTGAGCTGAGGCTAGACCATAAAGTGAATAGTCGATTGTGTGATTCCATGGTCTATCACAGTCAAAAGAGAGCTAGCTACAGAGATCTTGTGAAGTGGCAGGGTCAGTAACTGAGGGAAAAATTAGGTCAGAAATTCCTATCCAATGCTTGCCCCACCTCCATTCCACTCAAAGAACCCTGCTCTAGCCTCAGCGTCTCCCTTCCTATAGCATGGACTTGCTGCACTCTGGAATTAGGAGACCCACTCTGGGATAAGGGAAGACCCCCTTCAGCTCACTAATCCAAGTGGCATTCCCAACACCTTGTCTGCCTACAGTCCATGTGCACGTCTGTCCATCTACAGGAGTAAACTTGCTTTCCATCTCATTATCCTGCCTGTCTGTCTGTCCCTGTCCATCAGACCCTCCATCCTGAACATTAACACTGTCTTCACCTTTCTGTCTCCCCCTCCTTTAGTTCTTTCTTCCGTCTGTAAGAAATGTCAAATATGAGTCTCTTCTATCAAATATTGCAAAACTTGTACTTTGATGACCAAAAATTCAGATCTTTTTATATTCCTCTTCTTGTAAGACTTTTATGCAAATGTTTTAATCCCCATACACATGATCCGGTAAAACCCTTGTTTACACAAAGGCCCATGGCAGTGTTCCAGGAATCTGATGGCCTGGAGCAGAGATTCCTCTCCGTTCCATCATTTCCAGGCTGCCAACTCTTTCCAGACTAGCCAATCGAATTAAGTCTGTGAGTTCAGACCCCAGCCAACGGGGAAGAAGCACAGTCATCACCTGATTAAAAGAAAAACCAAATGTACTTCCAGTCTCAGTGTGCTTGCTCTTCTGAGCTCACCCTCTTGATCAAAGGAAAAGTTCACTTTGTCCAGATATTTCAGTTGGAGTGAAGGTCTCCTTCTTTGTCTCAAAACTTACTTCTAAGTCCTCCCTTCCTTACTTTAGCTATAAATAACTGGTTTCTCAGGCTGGCCTTGAACTTGTAGCAATTCTCCTGACTCTGCCACCTGAGTGCTAGGATTGCAGGTATGAACCATTATGCCTGATTTAGAATATGTTTTTGTCTTTCCTTTTTTTTCTATTTTATATGTATATGCGTATGTGCATCTCTCTGTGTGTGTACCTCTATGTGTGTATACATGTGTGTGCCCCACTTTCTCTGTGTGTACCTCGATCTCTTTCTCTCTCTGTATCTCTGTGTATGTGCATATGTGTGTGTACCTCTCTCTTTCTCTGTGTGTGTGTACTTCTATGTGTGTATACCTCTCTCTCTCCCTCTCTCTCTCTCTCTCTCTCTCTGTGTGTGTGTGTGTGTGTGTGTGTGTGTGTGTGTTCATGCGTGTATAGATGTATACAACTTCAAGTTTCATCTTCAGGATGCTGCCTACCTCCTTTGTCTATTATTGGCCTGAAGCTCACCAATTAACTAGGTTTGCAGGGATTCTCTCATCTCTGTCTCCCCAGTTTTGAGATTTGCAAATGCATGCCACAATACCCAGAATTTTCATGTGGATTCTAGGGATCAAATTCCAGTCCTTCCACTTGCAAGGCAAGCACTTTAACAAGCCCCAGCCCTTCATGCCTCTCCTGTTGGTATGCCTCATTCTGTGTCTGACTCTATCACACACACACACACACACACACACACACACACACACACACACACACATCATTCCTCCTTCCCTCCCTATGAAATTTGCTTTCTCCTCCCAAAGGTTTAAGATAGGATCTCTCTTAGCCCCCACCTGCTTCCATCTGGCCTCTGACCAGACCAGCTCCGCTACCCATCCCAGTTCCTGTTCAGTTCTGCGGCTTACCTGCTCTGTCTGTCAGGAGTTCCTGGAGGCCTAGAGTCTACAGGCCTCCAGTCTACAGTTATGACCAGCTAGCTACCACTGGGTCCCAGGAGCCTGCTGGGCCACCCAGTAGTCAGCAGTCAGACTCCCAAAGGCCAGTGCTGCTGACTCTGCCAGTGAGACTGCCCTCCCCCACCTGTAACCCCAGGAACTTTAGCCCTCAGAGGCAAAGCTGATGAAGAGGTTTGCAGGGGCAAACCCCAGAACCTCCTTTGCAGCCTCTGCACACTTCCACAGCTCCTACGCTGCCAAGGCCAGGGCCGGAAGATTGCAGGAGTGACTGGGGCACCCCTGGCTCACTCAGTGTTGAGTGTGGGGCCTCAGAGACCTGATGGAGTCTGAGGGGGACAGGCTTACAAGTACTACACAGGAGATAGTTTCCAGGGAGCCAGGCCCTCCATGAAGGTAAGGGACCGTGCTCCTATAATAATTGTGTTTCTGTCACCTATCAACTGAGTGATTCTAAGTTCAAACCCTCCTGGTCTGGCCCTTAGTATCTCAATCTGTGACACAGAGACAGATTGGTTGCCATGCAATCTTGTCACCTTATGAGCCTGTGACACTCAAACCTGAAGGGAACAGGGTGGGCTTGAGAAGAAGGGGGGGTGGAGGAGCTGGGAGAATGCTGGACGCAGGCCTATGGGGGTATGGGTCAATCTATGGATCCCACAGACTGGGCATCATGAGATCCCCGACTACCCTCCCCACCCACCTGTTCTCTCTGGCCTGTTTCCTCTGCTGGAAGGGGATGTGTGTCTCAGCCACAGGTCTCAGCAGCTTCCAGGGGACTCTCAGATGTCGCTGCTCTTGGTGAGAACTCGGCTCTATGCTGAAGTCAGAAGTGGGTGGATGGAAAGGGAGTGGGAGGTAGGTGCCTAGTGATGGGGGCCCAAGAGCCCTCAGGAGCCCTGGGGATACTGGCAGGCAGGCTGAAAAGAGTCTTTGTGGGAAACAGGAAGAGGCGCTCCGGGGTGGCTAATTACAGGCCCAGGCTCTTCCAGACCCCAGCAGCCTCGAAGTGGCCATTCTTTTGTAGAAGAAAGGGGAATCCAAGGCCCCATTAAGGCTTTCATGGCGGGACTGCAGAAGGTGTCTTGGCAGTCAGCCTTCTGCGACTACTTGTTCCCTCCACCTTCCTCCACACTCAAAGGGTACAGGCCCTGTCACCCAGCACAACCTCCCCTAAGGTATGAGCCTTTTGAAAACCATTAAAGATGGGAGTCCAGAGCTGTCTTTCTGTGCATGATTAGGCTCAGTTTCCCCAAGTGTAAAATGTGGATGCTGTCCAGTCCTGACATGCTAAGATGCTACGTCCATCTCTGAAGATCAGAGGCCAGAACTCTCCTGAAAACTTGAAGCATCAGGAGGTCTGGCCTCCTGTTCTGCCGCGTAGCACACAGTCACGTCTTTCTGCCCTTCCTGGCACACCAAGGCTCCTCAAGGTGAGTAAAGTTCCTTTACCTCTCACAGATGGAATCCAGGCGAGATAGTCACAAATAGAAGCTGAGTTGTGTTTAATTTCTTGCTAGTATATTTAATGTGTATGAGTGTACGTCTGCGCATCGAGTGTGTGCAGAGCCCACAAAGACCAGAAGAGGGTGTTGTATTTTCTAGGACTGGATTTACAGAGGATTGTGAGTCACCATGTGGGTGCTGGGAATCAAATCTGGGTTCTCTGCAAGTGCAGCCAGTGCTCTCAGCAGCTAAGCCGTCTCTCCAGCCCTGGAAAAATTGTCTTTATCACTTAATCCACTCATTCATTCACTCCATGATGCCTTAATCGCCTCCCAGGCCCCTATTACTGACCTGGGCACACAAACCATTGCGTGTTCCCTAAAGAAACATCAATAGAGGATGGGTAGGTCATGGGTTGCAACAGATCAGGAAAGGGTGCAGGGTAACCAAGGACAGCACCGCTGGAGGGGCTGAAGGGAAAGTTTTCTCAGGTTGCTGGAAGAGCAGTCTTGCTTCAGAAGGACCTGGGCAGTGTGGGCAGAAGAACAGCACCAGCAAAGGCAGGGGAGGGGCAGTGTGCAGGTGCAGGATGGACCTGGCCTGGTGCAACCTGAGCCTTCCCCAGGGTGCTATCCTGCTCACCGGGGAAGTGAGCCAGTTTGAAAGGACAGCACAGCGTTGTGAGGCTTCCTTCATAGGAGCACCTGGAGTGGACCTGGCCAATGGGCATCCAGACCCAGGAGCAGAAGGCAAGGTTGCCAGGGAATGAAGGTTGGGGGAGGGAGCTGCTTTTTAATGGGGGACAGTTTCTGTTTTACAAGATAACGAGTTGTAGAATTTGATAACACAGCAAAGAGAACACACTCCTGAAATATACTTTAAAAAACATTACCTGTCTGTTTGTTTCTATCTATCTATGTAATTTTAAAAATTGTTGATGTTTCGTTGTTGCTTTTTTTCTTTATGTAGCCCAGGCTGACCTCAAATGTGATGTGTAGTTAAGAATGCCTTTGAACTTCTGATCTTCCTGCCTCTACCTCCCCCCACCCCCCTGAGACAGGGTATCTCTGTGTAACAGCCCTGGGTGTCCTGGAACTCACTCTGTAGACCAGGCTGACCTCGAACTCAGATTCACCTGCCTCTGCCTCCTGAGTGCTGGTATTAAAGGCTTGCACCTAGACCACCTGGATCCCTCTACCTCTTGTATTACACTCATCTTTATGTGATGCTGAAATCAAACCTAAGGTGTGTGCCAGGCAAGAATCCTAGTAACTGAGCTTACATCCTCAGATCCATGACTTTTATTGTTATTTACTTTAAAAGTTTTTTATTTCGTCTGCTTGTCTGTCTATTTATTGTGTGTGTCAGTGAACGTTTGTTCCACAGAGCTCATGTGCAAGTCAGAGGACAGTTTTTTGGGAGTTGGTTCTCTTCCACCATGTAGGTCTCAGGGATCAAACTCAAACTGTCAGTTTTGGCAGCCAGTGCCTTTGCTCACTGAGCCATCCTGCCACCTTCATTTCTGTTTGTTTGAAATACATGTGTATCCCGCGTGCGCACACACACACACACACACACACACACACACACACACACAAGTGAGTCTACCCTGGAGGCAGAGGGGGAAAGGGATACTTGGAAAGGGACGGATGCCAGACAGTGGAGGGTCCTAAATGCGTGCTGAAGCCAACAAGCCACCCCAGAGGCTGTGTGAACAGATGGAGGGGCAGCAGGGAGGATGGCAGTGCTGAAGGGACTGAGAGAACCGACTAGGAAGACACAATTCCGCACACAAGTGTGTGCTGAGGTCACCGAGTCTTGGGGCAGGCAAGACGACCTCTCATCTTTGACGATGATGGAAGTGACTTTAGACATACGAGGGAAGAGAGCTGTTTGTACCAAACCATTTCATTTCAGGACAGGCCTGGCAGAGACAAGTTCAGCCTCCAGTCTGTAACTGGCCACGTGAGGATTCTCAGGCAGCCTCTGCCACCCACCATCTCCCCAAAACAGCCATTCTGTGCCCTTTTCCCTGTGTGACTGACAGAGTTCCCAACTGTTAGAGCTACAGGATGGCTCACCTACCCCGCTGCTGCCCGTCACACAGAAGGGGCACCAACATCCAGAGAGAAGGGAACTACTGAATGTCACCTACATGCTAGGCCACTGGAACTCTCCCTTGGTGTCTCCTTGGGGACATGAAGAAACTGAATTTGACAGTTGTGAAGGAAGCTGCCTTAGCTGCGCTTGCCAGCAGCCATCTTCAGAACAGTCTTTTCCTCCAGGGAAATGACGTCAGTTGACATGGCTCACCGTGCTAACCATGACCATGCTCTACAGACTCCAAACTGTCCTTCTGTGACTTCAGGCGACTGAGTTTCCCCAGGAGAAGGCATCATCTCTTTGGGTTGATCCTAGGATATGTTTGGTAGGGGAATATGTAGCCAGACTGCACTCCTTGGGTCCAGACTGCAATTCTCACTGGCCATTTGATCTGGGACAAGTGTCTGAACATTCTTTCAGTCTCATATTCTCCATCTAGAAAACAGGAAATCGTTGGGTCGCCTTATAGATCCACAAGAATGTCCAATGCCCAGAAGCTGCTCAGTAGAAAGTATCACTAATGGTAGTGATACTGATATTATTGGATAGTGAGAATCCAACAATATTTGATAATTATATAATTATTCAACATTAATCCAATATTAATATGATGACTGTGGTGCTAATGGTAGTGGTGATACTGGCTTTGTTGATAGTGATGGTTGTGGTGGTGGTGGTGAGGATGGTGGTGGTGATGATAGTGGTAATAGTTGTGGTGATGATGGTGATGGTGTGGGTAACGGTCATGGTGACAGTGGTAAGATAGTGGTGATGACAGTAAACTTAGTTTTTATTGAGGAGTGTCTAGGATCCTCTGGCTGCAATTGAAACCCAGGACAGGGAGCAGAGATTCCTGACTGACCACCTTGGTGTGAGAGACCGAGTTCTCTTTGTAAAGTGAAGCCGTGTGTCTTGATTAAGTAAACTGGCTGTAGAAACACATACTGATTAGATATATTCCCCTGCCCTGGAGGTCTCTCCCAGTCCACTGAGGAATCCCGAGAAATAGAGAGCTTTGAATATCACGTACCCACATTCCCCTCATGTTTCATAGACTCCATAGAATATATCATCTCTTTGCGTACTTAAGAACTTGAGGTTTTGGGTGTGTGTGTGTGTGTGTGTGCATGTGTGCATGCAGGTGTATGTTTGTACATGTAGTGTGTGGATAGGTGTAAGAGTGTTTATGTATGCTTATGAGCACACATGTACATACAAGCACACATGTAGAAGCCAGCCATAAACCTTGGGCATTATTCCTCAGGAACCTTTTACTTTTTTGAGACAGGAGCTCGCTGATTCTTCTAGAATGACAGGCCAGCTCCAGGAATCTACCAATCTAGACCTTCCCGGTGCTGAGATGATAAACATGCGCCTCCATTCCCAGCTTACATGGGTTCTGGGAATCAAACCTAGGTTCTCATACATGTGCAGCAAGTAATTAACTGACTGAGCTAGCTTCCTAGCCCTGGTCGTTGGTTTCCATAATTCATGTTTATCACTGTCTTCCCTACCGCCTGTTTTCACTAGAAGACAG